GTGATGGCTTCTTTTTCTAGTCTCCCTGCTTCTGGTCCATCCAGAAAGTCTGGTTCTAATCATGTGCTCAGAATCCAATAGCAGAATATACAGAGCATGACAATCATGGATCAAAATCTATGGGAAATGATCAAAACAGTGTTTGGAGAAAAGTGTATAGCTTTACTTGTCTTTATTCTTTTAAAAGAATGAAAGAAATTAACTAAATTCTTACCTTATTTTATAAGATAAGGAAATGAGTAAAAAAACCAAAAAAAACCACAGGAGAATAAGAAAGTAAATGTGATAAAATAAACAACTAATTATTTGTATAATAAAGAAATTAGAAAGTGATTAATATAATCAAAATATTTGTTTTAAAAGACTAACAAATGTCCAACAGATAGCAAATTAATTAAAAAGCTAATAAAATTATAAATGAGGCAGGAAATAGAGTATCCAAGATAATGAAGTTGGGGAAAAAAATGTATCAGGAAACATTTTGCACAGTTAAATGCTAATTATTTTAAAATTCCATTTGAAATTAAGTATTTTTTAAAAAACATATATTTTTTATTGATTTCAGAGAGGAAGGGAGAAAGAGAAAGAGAGAGAGAAGAAATCATGGATCAGCTGCCTCATGCATGCTCCACACTGGGGATCGAGCCTGCAACCTAGGCATGTGCCCTGACCGGGAATCGAACCGTGACCTCTTGGTTCATAGATCAATGCTCAACCACTGAGCCATACTGGCTGGGTGAAATAAAGTATTTTTTCAAAAGTGAGGGGATTGTCTAGGTACTGACTATGCACCTTGTCACAGAACTGGATGTTTTGTGTACATGTGATAACCCTATGAGATAAATATCTGTCCTCCCTTTACAAACAAAGACTGAAGTTTAGAGAAATCAAACTATATGCCCAAGGTCACCCAGTTACTAAGGGATGCAGCTGAAATTCAAATCCAGATCTACACTATTTATACTTTTCCATGTTTTCATCCTAAAAATGTAATCAAAATAGTCACAATAGGAAAGAAGAAATTTAAATATCCAGTAACGAAATATGTTGAAAAACTGTTCACACACCACACAAACACAACTGGATAAACTTGTTTAGATCAAAACTCTCCAAATTTTCAAATAAAAGCCTAACTACCCATCATTCCTCAAAAAAAAAAAGGAAATAAAAACAAACTAATTAAACTACTATAAAAGGAAATAACAGTCTTAATTTTAATTGTGATTAGGCTACCCACTCATACACACACCCCTATGTTCAGTTTTCCCCTTATGGACATGAATTCTTCAATAAAAATCAAATCAAGTGAGGTGATAAATTATTACATGCTAGAAGATGATATCATTTATATGAAATTTCCAGAATAGTACATCTATAGAGACAGAAAGTATGTTTGTGGTTGCCCAGGGCTGGGATAGGTGAGGAAGGCAGGAGGTAGTATAGTTTAAAGATATGGGATTTCTTTCTGAGATGATAAAATTATTCTAAAATGAACTGTGGTGATGGTTGCACATATTTGTGAACATACAAAAAACCACCTCTTAGTTTGCTAGGGCTGCCATACCAAGATACCACAGACTGGATACTTAGACATTTCTTATGGTCTGGAGGCTAGGAGTCTATAATCTGACATCAGGGCAGGGTTTTTCCAAAGCCTCTGTCCTTGGCTTTCGGTGGCTGCCGTCCTGCTGCTTTGTCCTCACATGGCCGTCCTTCTGTGCACACGCACCTCTGGGGCCTCTTCCTCTTTTTATAAGGACACCAGTTGCATGCGATTAAGGTCCCACCTAAAGGGTTTATTTTTACTCGTCACCTCCAAGTATAATTCCATTCTGAGATATTAGGAGCTGGCACTTTGACAAATGAAGTTGGGGGTGGAGGGACACAACCCAGCTTGTAACAGAATCAAATTGTACAGCTTCAAAGGATGGACTGTGTGATCTGTGAATTTCATCCTACTAAAGCTGTGTTCAAAACAGTAGAGGAACGCTCTCTTAAAATAATAAAAGAAATATTTAATTAAAGCCAAAATTTAACTTCAGTCATTCTCCTTAAAACAAAATTCTGGTATTACAGAGCATTTGGGATGAAGGACATATGGATGACAGATGAGATCAGAGAAGGGAAGGGCAGCTACAAACTCTTGGAGAAAAAGGAAATGAGGCAAGAAAAGAGATGACCTCGGCGTGCTACTGTATTTGGCCCCGCAGTGTGTCAGATTAAGTCATCATATTGATGCACTCACCTTTCCAATTTATTGATCAGCTACTGTGTGCTAAGCACTCTCCTAGGTGTGACATACAATAGTACACAAAATGAAGGCCCTGGGGTCATGGAGCTCCTGGTCTAGCCGGAGCAGGGATACAGACAATGAAATGCTATATAACCAGTAAGTGATTTCAATATGACTGGAAAAAAATTAAAAGTTTGAACAGAAGGAGGGGACCTAAAAATGCTGAGGGGAGGCAAGAGGGGCAGGTTGAGAGGAAGGTAAGAATGTTGGCCATACAAATATTAGGGGCCCCAATAGAGACCCTAAGGTAAGAGTATGTCTGACAAGTAGCAAGAAAACCATCATTGCTGGAAAGATGTGGGCAAAGGAAAGGGTAGGAAAAGCCTAGATCAGAAGGTAATGAGAGCCAGCCGATGCAGGCCTTAGGGTATTTTAGGGATTTGGGCTTTTACCCTGAGTAACAGTAAGGTTGGAAGCAGGGAAGTGACAAAGACTGTCCTTGCATTTTAGAAGGAGCCCACTGGTGGCTGTGCCGAGACTAGAATGTAGGCAGAAAGGTTAGAAACAGGGGGCTATTACATGCACAAGTAACGAAGACTGGATATGGATTTTATTTTTAAAATATGGCATATACTGTACACGTGGCGAGGATGAGGGCATAAAGCAGAGCAGGTATAAGAGAGTTGAATCATCATCTTCCATAACAAGGAGTCAAGTAGGCAATATCTAAAATTACTACAGAAGAAGTAAAAGCATAGCATTGAAAATTACATGAATTAGCCCCGCTAGTGTGTTTCAATGGTTCAGCATCAACCCAGGAACCGGGAGGTCACAGTTCAATTCCCGGTCAGGGTTGCAGGCTGGATCCCCAGCGTGGGGGCGTGCAGGAGGCAGCCAATCAATGATTCTCTCTCATCATTGATGTTTCTCTCTCTCTCCCCCTCTCCCTTCCTCTCTGAAATCAATAAAAGTATATTTATGAAAAGATAAAATTACATTAATTAAAATAAGAGATAGCTAGAGATAGTTGGAAAAGATTGCCACCAGAGAGAGAAACTGGGGGAGAGGGACAAGGAACAGCTGTTTCTTAGGACCTTCCACCTCGTGTTTTTAACCACATGAATGTATTGCTTAAATTTTTAGAGAGGACCAGAACAAGGTTGCCATTGAACTTCGTAATTGATGTTGGGTTGGGGATTTGGGCAATTGCAATAAATTACAAAGGAAGAAGTCTAACTGTTGGGAAAGTATATGTAAAATATCATTATTTGCAGATGGCAGAATGCCTAGTTAAAACAAAAGTCAACTAAAATATTTCAGTAAAGGGATCAGATAAAGAGGCATTTTTTAACTTGCTGGCTCATATACTGTCATGTTTAATAAATGTTTCTCTTAAGTAGACAAGAATTTTTTCACTACTAGAAGTTCAGTGCTAAATTCAGCATCCAACTATAGTTAATGATTAATATCTGAGAAACTTGCTCTTTTTAATTCTTAAAAGCTAAATAACCACCCAGTTTTATTTGTGGCTTAATACTACTTACTGCTTTAAGTTCATTTTGGAAGAAAAAGAAAACATTGTATCCTTTCCTCCTGGATATGTTTCTGTTTAGAAGCAATTGCTGAGCAGATGAATAAGCAGTTCAAGTCCATGCCATGCTCCGGCCCAAAGTCAAGGGCAGGTCACGACAGATGGCTTTTCATATTCACTTCCCATACTCTGGGGAGGGGAGTAGAAAGTGGTTTCCACCTGAGTTCAAGTCAACAAGTCATACAGTCACATATCCCCTCATCCACCATTTATTCACCCATCATTCAAATCCTTACTGAGCAAAGTAGGCCCAGCATCAAGAATCAGGGAGAAAGCCCAGCCATCCGTGGGCTCTTGTAAACCAGGCATTTAAAGGTCAGTGGCAGCACACTGCAGGAAGGACTCAGAGAGGGGTGTGCCCAGAATCAGAGTCAGCAGGGGTGGAAAGTGCTGGGAAGAGGGAGTGACAGCGAGGCCGGAAAGGAAGTGGGTTGTGTTGGTTGGTTAAAAGTGATTGAACACTTGAGCACCTGAAAAGGAGGGACATGGTAAAGTGACAGAGAAAGAGTGTTGTTCAATGGTCCTAACCGCAAAGGCCCATGGGAGCCAGGCAGGTGTATGAGTGTGCAGCAAGGGCTTGGTGCGGGGAAGACAAGAGAGAGTAGTGTAGACTGTGGCAAACCGTGGAGACCATGCTCCGCTCAAGGGAACAACCCCTCCACAGCTCCAGTGATTGACACTAAGCAGGACCTAGAGCTCCCGTATCTTTTAAAATTCCAACAAAAATCCAGATTTGTGTTGGGATGTGTGTATATAAAATTGTTAGTGAATTAAAATGCCTTAACATTATAATAATAAAATCTGCCTCCCCCCCACCCCCCCAAAAAAATGTGGCTGATTTTAAGCTAAGAGCTGCTTGTTTGCTACCCCTGGCATAGTGGTTGAATTTTTCTGATCTATACTTCCTAAAATTTTTCTGATCTATACTTCCTACTTAAGCTATCTCAAGCCTCAGTTTCTGCATCTACAATAACAGTATTTAATCTAATTTATTTAAATTATAGGATTTTGGCAAGAACTAAATGAGGGAATGATGGTACAGCCGTAACCCCTTTAAAATGCTGCTTTGTTATCAAGTTGTCTTTGATATCATTTTATTAAGCTATGCTGCATATACATAGAAATGATTGCAGCACATTACATAGAATGAATCATTACAATACACTCTGTACTCACATGCGTGTTCTCCACCAATGGAGGCTCCAGAACCAGCTGTGTGGAAGAGATGCATCAAGGTGTGTAGTTTGCCCTGCTGTTAATTTCCTTCCTGCCATTTATTTTGCATTCTGGCAACCAGTGCTGACCCGCAATAGCTGATCAAGATCGGGCAGGTGACAGCGCTGGATCCCCCTAAGGGTGACAAAGGAAAGGTGTCTATCTCCAGGCTGAAGTGCAAGTGCTCCAGGAGGCTTCCAGGAAGCGGCTGCAGCCCAGAGGATGCAGATGAACTGGAAGCGGGGTGCTGACCTGGGGAGGTACAAAGGACATCCCCGCAGCCCAGGAGCCTCAACCAGAAATTGAATTAAGGGAAATTGTAATTAAGGACATAGGATGGTCTCAAGGAATTTGAAAAGAATGGAACAGCAATAGCCAATGAGCAATGTATGCAAGCATATCAAAGGAGTATGCCCCACAGACCTTAATTTACCCAGCAATCCCATTTCCAGAAATTCCCACTTTGAGCTAAATAGAGATAATGCTAAGTGTTTCTGTATGGATGCTGGCCCCAAAACATCAGCTTTTATTGTTATTTGCTTGATACAGTTAGATTATAAGATACATATTAGAAGGTGATAAAATGTGAGGCTGAAAAGGTGGATGACCAGAGATCAGATCACAAAAGCTTGTAGAGGCTATGCAAGGGAGTTGGGAATTTCTCCAGAGTAGGGAACACACAGAAGGGTATCAGGCAGCGTCTTTATCCCCTATGTTAAATGTGCCATACAACCTTTAGTTACCACTTTCACTCAACTATAGAATAATTGGCAAGAAGCTGAAATACATTTAGGGGATGTTTTTAGTTCTCTCCAGTGTGACAACGCATCTACCGAATGCAATCTTTAGAATCTGCCTTTAATGAACAGCATATGTTGCAGGGGAGACATGAAATTTAGGTCCTATATGCTCTCCTTAAGCAATGACACTGAACTTTGCATACTGTGGCTGCTCTAAGACAGCATCAGCAGAAGACAAGGACAAAGAAACATCAGAAGAATGTCATCTCCACACACTTGAGCCACAAGCTAGTTAACAGACACCAGAAGTGATTCAAAGGGTGTATTAGTTCTGCTTCCTGCCCTCTGAGAACAACAGTTGATGGAGGCAAGACAGGGCAAGAAGTGGGCGGTGGCAGAGAAGGAAGCTGCATTTTGCTGATGGAAATAGCTTCCAATAAGGTCAAACCCACAAATACTAAATGGTTAGTCCCAAAAAGATGATTTCTAACCCTTGCTATGATAAAGTTCTCAGCATTCTTGCTTCAGTTTCTCTCCTTATTTCTGGATATAGTACAAAAATGAGTTGAGAACAAATGCCTTTGCGAGATGTTCTCCCTGGCAGTTTCTAAATGTCCTCACCCCAGAACCACAAAGGGCACAGGAGGAAATGAACATTGACTGAGCTCCTGCTAACCTGCTATCGGCTGGGTATTTTCCTTACGTTGAACTTGGAAGTTGTCTAGTCTCTTCCCTACACTTGCCCCTCTCCACAGCCATCTGTCATTATCTCTCTAAAGCAGGAAGATTTTGAAGATAGCCAATGGCCAGATCGTTGCACAATGAGTATCTTTTGTTGTTATTGTTGTTGCCCTTATTGTTGTTGCCCCACATCTAGAATCCCGTAAGTGGCCTCCTGCATCCCCTGTTGGGATGCATTTCAATTGATATCTAACAAATTAAGCAACTCACTTTAAAAACGCACTGCTGAATCCCCCGGAGGGGACAGAGGTCCAATTGGAAGAGCAGGAGATTGGACAGGGCTCCTGCACAGCGAGCACCAGAACAGCATGTTCTGTCTCTTTCACTCCAGAGAAGTTGCAGGTGAGCGTCCTGGAAGGCAGCTGGGAAGTGAGGACAATGTGCAACTTATTAAAATTGTTGAGAAGGCTTTTCCCTCTGCATCTATTGTCGATGGGTCATGGCTGGGTACCAGGTGGCAGATAAGGATTCTCTAATATTCTTTCATATAAAATAGTCTCCATGTTCTCGTAAGTCACAGAGGTCCTCAGAGGCAATGACCACTGGAGGGGTTTGTTCTGACAACCTAACACACAATATAAATATGAGTGAGATGATTATTTAAGACATATTGCTAGGAATGCTGTAAGCTAGAAGCTGAGAATGGCCTACTCTTTATCCATCATTACTTCTTTTTTAAAAAAATATATTTTATTGATTTTTTACAGAGAGGAAGGGAGAGGGATAGAGAATTAGAAACATCGATCAGCTGCCTCCTGCACACCCCCTACTGGGGATGTGCCCAAAACCAAGGCACATGCCCTTGACTGGAATCGAACCTGGGACCTTTCAGTCCACAGGCCGACGCTCTATCCACTGAGCCAAAGCGGTTACGGCCCATCATTACTTCTTCCTTAATAAACCTGATCCTGTTAGAGGCATCCATGTGTCCTGTTGCCAAACGACTTTTTCAAGCCTCACCTTGAGATAGGGGGAAGGTAACTAGGTTCTGGATAAGGCTATCAGGAGGGGTACTAAGTTTGGAGGTTCTTTTGCTTTTTTCCCTTTCATCTTTCTTCCTGCCTGGAATATGAACTTGATATATGGAGCCACAGTGGCCATGTTGCACCTTGAAGGTGGAAGTCACATGCCAATGATGACAGAACAAAGGGATAGAAGAGGCCTAGGCCATGGATTGTATCCTAGGACCACTGTAACAATGCCAGGCTGCCTATAATTAAGAGAAAAATAAATCTCCATCTTGTTAAATCATGTTATTTCAGGTTCTGTTATTAGCACCCAAATTCAGCTCCTAACATCTTCTAGGTCAGTGGTTCTCAACCTTCTGGCCCTTTAAATACAGTTCCTCATGTTGTGACCCAACCATAAAATTATTTTCGTTGCTACTTCATAACTATAATGTTGCTACTGTTATGAATCGTAATGTAAATATCTGATATGCAGGATGGTCTTAGGCGACCCCTGTGAAAGGGTCGTTTGACCGCCAAAGGGGTTGCGACCCACAGGTTGAGAACCGCTGTTTTAGGTGGTAAAATGAGAAAAGCAGGGCCAAAAAAATTTCAAACAAGATGTGAAAAAAAAAAATTAAAAAGAACATAACATTTAAATTCTATCGTTTTTAGGGCACACTGAATTATCTGTGGGGAGGAACTTACTAAGTAAGATGTGCCCAGTGACTAGTGGAGAGGAATTTTTTGTAAGAGAAAGCCGTAAGAGTCCAGCAGATTTGACCTGTGGCTTGCAAACACTTTGCCCTTTATGGAGATTACAAACCTGCATTATTTATCACCATTGAATTTGCCTACCAGATAGGAGAATCGACTGATCTTTGGAAAGTGTTTCTCTTGTGGGACCTAGGAGACCTCTGAATCCATTTCATGAAAAATGAAAGGAGACAGCATAACAAGTTCAAGTTCATTTAAGTCAACATCAATGCCAGTTTCTCCAGAAGAGGCAGGAAAAAGGCCAGCAGAGAGGAAGGTAATAAAAAGCTCTTGGCTCTGCTTTCCTAATTACCCCTAATCCAATAAAGAGCTGGGCCTCTTACAAATGCTAATTAAGTAAGCCCCCTACCAGTCAAGTGATAAATCCAGGAAGAGCCCTCCCTGGTAAAAGTATGGACAGTGACAGAGAAGGGCAGGCTGGAAATAGACATCTGAGTACGCAGTCAGTGTTTGAAGTCCTGGAGGGTCAGCTGGGCAGGGAAAAGCACGACTAGGCCTGTAAAAACAAGAAGAATCCTGTATGGAGTTGGGAAACCAGAAATCGGCGGGTGTGAAGCCAGTGCCGATCTCTTCACACTGCCCGGCCATCCAGTTTTCAGCTTCTACCTCGCAGTGGAATAAGCGAATAAGCAGATTGCACCCTAATGCCAGAATTCTTGACCTCCCGGAGCTCTTCCAAATTCCACCTGTGGCCTCTTTCAACCACCAGTAAGTAGCACACCCACTTGTCAGAAAGTCTCACCTCTTGGTGCTGTCCTGTTTTCATGCTTCCCAAATTGTGTTCTGCTGAATCGGCCCTGATGCTCTGGGTTGCGAATAAAAGAAAATTCAACTTAAAGTAGCTTAAAAGGCACAGGGAATGTCTCATTTCTGGTTTCCTCACTGCAGAGTTCAAAGGTCTGTCAACTTCAGGCATTGATTTAAGATTAAGGCTCTGGTTCCATTTCTCTGCAGTTTTCTTGGTGTTATTCTTACCTGTTTGTTTTGTCCTCTGACCGGTTTCTATCATACAGTAACAAAATGCTACATCAGTTCCTGGTGACACCACCATCTATCACAGCATCCAAAGAAAGAGGCAGTGCCTCTTCTCCCAGATGAATCAAAAATGCCTTGAGCTTCACCTGTAACAGACAAAACGAGGTTAGGCACACACTCTTGCAAAATGTTCACTCAGACCCAAGAAACGGTGTATGAATCAGCCTACGCTAAGCTGTGCTGTGGTGACAAATGACCCTAAAAACCCCAGTGGTTTGCAAAGCAACAACGTTTTATTTTTCAATCAACTTGCACATAGGCTGTTAGAAAACAAGCGAGACTTCATCCATGTCCTCTTCATTCTGGGAGTAAGACCAAAGGAGCACACGTTTCTAGGGCATGTTAATCTGTGGCGAGGGAGAAGGATGATGGCAGAGCCACATGCTGGCTCTTAAAATTTCCACTTGGAAGTGGCACATGTAATTTCCACCCACATCTTGAAGGGCAAAGAAAGTCATTGCCTCAGCCTGTTGCCAGCAGGATGGGAAGTAAAATCCTTCTGTAGGAGAGTCCAGATGGAATGAGCTTGATATAGTTTGAATATAATCTACTATTGCAAATGCCATATGATGATTGATTTAAACTGGGATGCTCATCTCTGACCCAGTTATTAGGCAAGGTAATGGATAGGATTGAACTTTTGGGTTTACATCAATCAGATCTTACTCCCTGGGGTCGGCGTAGCCATGGCGACTCGTGTCCTTTCTACCTGTGTCCACTGCCTACCTGCGGCCTTGGTGTCGCTGCCCCAGCTTCCCACGTTGGCCACAGCCCGGCCGCTCAGACCATGCTGTGCCCCACGGGAACCCAGTGAGGCCCAGGGCTCCCAGCTCCACGCTGGAGCAGGTACCAGGCAGTTACACAGCTGTGCCACCACTATAGTGACGCGCCCTCTGATGTTAGAGGGGATCAAGGACGGTGTTCTTTATGTCTTGCCACTATGACAGGATTGGCCCAGAGCTGCTCTCAGTAAGTTCCCATTTTAGAAAAGACCTGGGTTTAGACAATTTGGACCAAGTGGAGATTATCATGGCTCTGGAGGACAAATTTGGGTTTGAAATTCCTGATATAGATGCGGAGAAATGGATTGCCCACAAGAAATTGTAGATTACATTGCAGATAAGAAGGTTATGTATGAATAGAGTATGAGACCCTTTTCTTCACCGAGAGGAGACACGAAGATACAGGCGAGTGTCTGGCCACCAGAACGTGTTTTGGCATCATTGCTGACATCGACAGAGCAATTCTGTTTACACTTGTATTTAAATTGTCTAAGTGTTTGTGCCCTTTGAAAATAAATCTAAAAAACAACAACAGCAGCAACAACAACAAAACATAACAAAAGCCTACTCCTCTAAGTGGGAATGGAATCAACCACATTCAGACCACAGGGTCTACTTCACCTACCAATAGACAAGACAGTGTGGGTCCTCATTTTACAGATGAGAAAACGGAAGCTTACCTCTTTCAGATTATAGAGCCAGAATTCAAAGCCAAGTCATCTAAATTGATATTCCATGTTTTCCATTGTACTAATGACTTTGAATTTGGTACTGCTCTATCCAACATTCACTTGACTAACAAACTTAGCTACCAACATGCGCATAAGTCATATTGGAAATTCACTATTTTTATAAAATAATTCATAGGTATAAAATCTGAAAAGTCTTATAATTTGGAGACAAAGTCATAAAAGGACACATTTCATCTAGGAAACATGCAGCCTCAACAACGCATTCAGAAATACAGTGCACCACCTTCCAAGAGATCAGCTTGACAATATCTAGCAAAAGCCCTAAAATACGCACATTGATTGGCCCAGCGATTCCACATGTAGAAAACTTACCTTCTGAAAATAACCACGGGTGAGTGGAAACATCAATAAAAATAAACAAGGACCTTCATTGCAGTAAAATTTCTAACCTAAAAATCCTAAATATTCAACACAATGGGATTTGTTAAGTGAACAGGGATGATGCACTGATCATACTACTATACAGCTATTTAAAAAGTCTTATGCCTAAGTATTTAATTGCATAGATTTTTAAGTTGTTTATCAAAAGTAAATTATCAGATGCTATGTACAATATGTTTCTATATGTATATGTGGAACTATAGAAGATTTGGGTGTTTTCTTTATGTTTACATTCAAATTTTCTACTATCAAATAGAAAATATATATCATATAGCATATCAAATGCGTATGGCTTGTACACTAAGAAGTAAACAATGCAATTTTCTTTTTTACTGAGTCACCCTCCAAAACTAAAGCAAAGGGAAGCCCCATGAAGCAGATGAGATTACCATCTGCAGAAGTAATCATAAGCTCTAAGAATGTGTTGCTGATTAGTTGAGGGTGTCTCTTGTGTATGACAGAGGAGTTTAAAATATAAATCAAGCAAGATAACCCATGACATGTGGTCCTGTGACAGCCCAAGAAAATGAGAAATTTATGATTAAGAATGGTCAATGTGACTCTAGGACTGCCCACTGGGGAGGGTGGTCATTTCAATTACCCTCATCAGAGAGTGAGGCAGAATTTTACCCAGAGAGAAGATGACAATTCATCCAAATGTTCCAGCTTAGCGCTTAAAAATGTCAGCTTCCTTTCATTTTAATCCTTTACTGACCCAGCTCTCATTTTCTCTTTCATCAGGAAGCAATGCCCCATGTCAATGACACCCGTTACTTTTCCTGATTGGATGAACTCCCATTGCAAGAGGCTTTTGGTATGAATTCTGATCTATATTGCCAGCTGGGGGTGAAGGGGAACTTTACCAGTGCCATTGTGATTGCCAAGGTCATTTCAACCCAGGGTGAGTTAATCCCATTAAATGGCTTCTTTATTTTTAGGAACATTTCCATTTCTTTCTCTACCTGCAAAATTCCTCGCACAATCAGATGTTTCAGCCAATGTTTCAAAATTTTATCCTCGAGTTCCTTAAAACTTATGTGTAGGTGTCGCATCTGCCCAGCAATTTATTTTCAGTGTTTTACTGAGCATTATAGAAAGAAAAATCAGAAGTGTGCTTCCTCCATAATCTGACCAGGCTTCCACCTCTATCGCAGGGATCAGTCTCCTTTAGGATAATCACAGTTCCAGAGCACAGCATTTGTATGTACATCATTGTGCCTCTGCTCAGACCCTCCGTTAAGTCCAGAACCCTTCCACACCATACATGACAGAGAGAAGCACTGAGACTGTGCTGAGTGCCAGCACATACTTGTCAAGAATGTTTTTAAAGGAAAAATGGAGTGAAGGAAGTCTGTGTCTCCAGATATCTATCTCTTCATTGTTGAGCTTCAGAGGAAATTCTGGCTCCAGCCCATTCCTGGTGTATCTGTCACATATATTCCTTTTCTACAATACAGAGACTCAGTTTTGAAATGATAATACACTTCTGGAGTTCATCCAAGGGTAATAAAATCTTTCAGTTGAAAATGTCACAAACCATTTGAACTGGGATCAGGAAGACGGGAAATGTAGGGCTGGAAGGGTCAACAAAGAGGAGTGTCCCAGGCTAGGTGAGGCACTGGTCGCCCAGAGGTGGGCTTAGAGCTAGCTGGACCAGCCTCAGCAGGCTCAGGTCTCCGAAGCTGCTGATGCAGAGAGTTGGGCCCTATAGCAAGAGTCTATGCACAGGGAATATTCTACATCATGTGAATGGTGGCATTAAAGCCCCACGCAGGTCTGTTATGTGTGAAGCAGGACTCTAGTAGGCTAAAAGGAGCCAAAGGAAGGAGAAATCAGGCAGGTGGAGAGACTGGAACTCATGCCAGGCTCTGGAGCTGGCGGGAACACAGTAATAAGCTCATAAAAACACAAGTTTTTCTCCAGATTGTGTGAGAGATGGCTGGGAAAGGATAAATATAACAAGGGAAAGGGCCTGGGGGACTTTTGGGCAGGAGGGGAGGAGACTGCTGGGCACAAGTAGCCCACCCTCAGCGTTCAGAATGGCGGCGAACGTTTCAACTGTGCCCTTTGAGGACCCCAGAAGGTCCTGCGTGTCCTTGGCAGATCACAGCCTTGATGACTCCGTAATCAACTCTAAGTTGCACAAAAGCAAGAGCTACTCCTGGGAGCTAAATGAGATTGCAAGGCAGTGACTGGGACTCTACCCTCAGAAAGCCTGGGTTATAATCCAAGCTCTGCCCTTGCTGCCTCCAGGACCTGGAGACATGGTTTTCAATGAGTTATTTATTCCATTTGCTTTATCTAAGAGATAGAAATAAAAAGTATTTAGCACATACAGTTGTAAGGGCTAGGATAAGGTAATCCATGAAAAACACAGAGAATAGTACTTGGCACATAATAAATGCTCAGTAAATGTACTGTGGAGTAGTAGTGGTGATATTAGGAGTAAAAGGTAATGTCTATAAAGATATGATGCAAAGTCTGGCACATAGTAGGCCCTCAGTTTGGGATAGCTATTATTACTCTGGCTTTCCCTACCTTTTAGGACCAACTCAAAACTGTGTCCACCCCCGACCCCTGCCCCAGTTCTAACCCCTCACTGTAACAGGAACACCCTCCTCTTGGCTGCTGGAAAGCAAATCTCATCAAAAATTTATCCTGACCCAGAGAGACACCCCCAGAAACTTGGTGAAGTCAGCCCAGGAGGTTTCTGGAAGCCAGTGATGGGAATCTCTTAATTAAGAGTATTAATCAAATGCCTCCTAAATTTCCTTACTTTGTTGCTTTCCCATGTGACCACATGCACTCCGAGCCAGTTCCTTCCCTTGGCACAGATCTTGACACCTGCTATTCTTAGAGTTGTTTGATCTGAGACATAATAGGTTACTGGCTTGTTGTACAAGAAAAGCAGCATTTAGCCAGTGGAAGGGAGAAGTGGTAGGCAGTAGTGAGCCAGAATGAAGTCATGAAGCCCCAAATTGGGACTTAGCGTGGCTGGAGGAAGGCAGGAAGGAAAGGATGCAGACAGCAGGGAAGCAAGAGTCACCATAGGCTTCGGGGGGTGGGGGGTTGGGAGGGCGTGGGGAGGGATAAATACTAGACCAGAGATCTGAGAATACAACTGATGACCTTTGCCATCTCTTAGTGTATGGGCCATCATATGCTAGACAA